CACGCATACAGGACCCAAGTGTGGTTATTCACCTGACCTCTCCTGACCAATCTGGTGAATCTGCAAAATTCACCCTTCGAGTTTCTGGAGATTCGATAGCTAGCTCTCGTGGTCTTGCAGGTGTAGGTATAGCATTAAGCACCAGGGCAGAAAACTCACTACTAGACTGGATCCCAGTTGATAGTCGCCTCTGCGCTATGAGGCTGAACGGCACAGTGAGAACTAAAAGGAATAGTGAGACTCGCCGTTGTCTCTTTGTAATCTCTGCTTACGCACCCACTGACTGTAGTTCGGATGAAGTGAAGGACGAGTTCTACCATAAACTGTCTAACCTCCTCTCGAAAGCCAAACGTTCGGACGTAGTGGTTGTTGCAGGTGACCTCAACGCACAGGTGGGTAGACTGAGTGAGGCAGAAAGGCACTTAGGTGGCACTTTCGGAATCCCAGCTGAACGTACAGATAACGGTGATCGCCTATTACAACTATGCTCAGATAACCGCCTATTTTTAGCCAGCACAAATTTCAGACATAAAGAAAGGCACTGTCTGACCTGGCGTCCACCGAGCTCGACTCAGCGATGGACACAGATAGACCACATTGCTATTAGTCATCGCTGGAGAGGATCGGTGGAAGACTGCCGCTCCTTCTGGAGTACGTGTTTGGACAGCGATCATGCGTTGGTCCGAGCACGTATATGCCTGCGTCTCAATGGACGTAGAAAAAATTTGGCAACAAAACCACTACGAGTTCTGCTGGACAACGAAAACACCAAAGCCGTGTTCAGTGAGAAGTTGGCTAGGCAGTTATCGGAACAAAAGACTGTCACTCATCCAGAAGAAGCTTGGTGCCATCTTCAGTCTACTGTAAAAGCAGCACTGGAGACTGTAGCCGACTCCAAGATAATGGCTAAAAAGAGCCAGTGGATATCAGCAGCTTCTTCCAAACTAATGGATGCACGTGAATGCATCCCTGCAGGCTCTGAGTACAATGAAGAGCGAGCGCAACTTAAAAATAAACTGACGAAAAGTCTGCGCAACGATCGTGAACAGTGGTGGGCAGCAAAGGCTAAAGAGATGGAAAAGGCAGCGGCGATCGGTAACAGTAGACAGTTATTTAGACTTATTAAGGAGACTGGGGGGAAATGGTCAACAACAGTTAGTGAGGTTATAGCGGAGAAGGACGGATCGGCGATTCACTCGCAGGGAAGGCGACTGGGACGATGGGCAGAACACTTTGAGGAACAGTTTAACTGGCCTCCAGCCACCATTGCGCTGCCCGCTATCCAGTCGGACCCTGAATGGGACATAGAGACAGGTCCCCCAACACTAGAAGAAGTTGAGAAAGCGGTAGGTAGCCTGAAACGGGGAAGGGCAGCAGGACCAGACGGACTACCTGCTGAGGTATACAAGAATGGTGGTAGAGTTCTCTTAGTCAGGCTAACGGAAGTGTTAGCCAGTATATGGGAATCAAATACGATCCCCTCCGACTGGTCTAAGTCACTCATCATCCCAGTCTTCAAGAAAGGCGAGAAGTCCTCTTGTGATAACCACAGAGGAATCAGCCTGACAAACATAGTGTCTAAGATCCTAAGTTCTATAATTCTCCGACGCCTGAGTGGAGCTCGGGAACAGCAAGCCCGAGAAAACCAGGCAGGCTTTAGACCTGGCCGTGGATGTATCGACCAAATATTCACACTGCGCCAGGTCCTGGAACATAGGCATGCTTACAGACGCCCGACAATAGCTGTATTTCTCGACCTGAAGGCGGCATTTGACTCCGTTGATCGAGAAGTCTTATGGCAGTGTCTGTCACTGAAAGGCGTGCCTAGTAAGTACATCACCTTATTGAAAGCTCTCTACTCGAACACTTGTGGGCATGTTAGAGCCTATGGTGAGTTGTCCAGGGAGCTATACTCATCAAGTGGTGTCCGTCAAGGATGCCCACTATCCCCATTCTTATTTAATTTTATCATAGATATTCTTATGGAGGTTTCCCTCTCGTCACCTAATTACAAAGACGTTGACCGGATCACAGGTGAATTTTCCTTAGATCTAGAATATGCAGATGACATAGTCCTGTTAGGTGAAGACGCTGACAAGATGCAGAGTCTTCTGAACACTTTGAGTGGGAATTTGAGAATGTTTGGGATGCGATTTTCACCACCCAAATGCAAATTTTTGCTCCAGGACTGGTCTTCAGCGGTACCGCGGTTAACAATAGAGAGTGAAGTGGTTGAGTGTGTTGACCACTTCACTTACCTGGGAAGTAGGATCAACTCCGGTGGGTTAGTTGCCGATGAGATTTCTGCACGGATACAAAAGGCTCGATTGGCTTTTGCCAATTTGCGCCACCTATGGCGCCGCCGTGATATTCGTTTGTCTATTAAGGGTCGCGTGTACTGCACAGCAGTCCGCTCTGTTCTACTGTATGGCTGTGAAACATGGCCATTGAAAGTGGAAGACATGAGAAGGTTACAGGTATTTGACCACCGTTGCCTTCGTAGTATAGGACGTATTCCGTGGTGTCACCATGTGAGTAATGCAGAAGTTAGGTGTAGAGTTTTAGGGAGAAGAGGTAAGTCAGTCGACGAGGTTGTGAACCTTCATCGACTGAGATGGTTGGGACACGTACTACGTATGCCTAGTCACCGATTGCCTCGTCACACAATGTTGGCTGAGGTGGGTTCAGGCTGGAAAAAGGCCCGAGGTGGCCAGACTAAAACATGGCACCAATGTATGAAGTCTCTGACTGTTGGTTTAAGCCATGTAGGACGATGCAGACTAGGTGGTTGGGGTCCACGGGACAAGAGGAACCAGTGGTTGGAGACCCTAGGTGATATGGCTCAGAACCGAAGTCAGTGGCGCAGATGTATACACACATTATCCTCATCTTAACAACGCTATACCGAATCTCACTATTTTGTCACTCCTCTTTCCTTTCTTCTCATACTTTATATTTCTTTTGACTGCATTCACTTATCTTCATCCTTCACCTCACTACCTTTTTACTTGATGTGCTGATATGAGGTGTGGCAACTCGGACCGTTACGCAGTAATGCCTGGTCCTATGTTGATAATGATGATGATGATGATTCAAAGCATCTGTCGTATTCCACAATATCTTTTACGTGGAATTCGCAGAGGCTATGAGAATTATAGAAAACAACCCTAGTTTTGTGTGTAAAAAGTTTGTACAACCCTTATCTTCATCTTGGTCAGAGAAAACTTATAAAATTTTTCTAATGAAGACACTTGTAATAAGAAACTGTATTTTTGTGATAACTATTACATTTGAGCAGGCATGAAAACGTTGAACTAGTAAGATATTGAAACAAGGAGTTTGATGAATTCACTGACGATAACAACTTTGGCAGCAGTAATCATGACTTTCTTGAGGTGATATAGATCTGCCCCATAGTTACGTGGAAGGGCATCAACATGAAGTTGTAAACAGCGCAGTTAAGCGGTGCTGCATTTGTCCTTCTGGCTCTTCAAAACCTGAGATTTGAGCCTAAGGGATTACGCGTCGAGCCTAGTTACATACAGCGATGAGTCTCCTCGTGGCTTCTTTGGATATCAACCAATACACCGTTTAGTTGATTTAATCGCAATCGCGTTCGACGCGATCAATATGTAGAAGATCAAGGGCGTTGAGCTCCAAAGCAAGGACGGTCTAGTTAGTCGTAAAGATCTCGTCCAGTGCGCTGACACTAGTGCAACTGAAAGGTTAGGCGAATTCAGCTTTCGAACGCCAGTGGTCATTGTTGCTGAAGGAATCCCCAGAAACGGGTATAGTCTTACATTGTGAAGGTGAGTGATATTCGATCCGGAATACCGGTGTCGTTAGCCATAATCTTGGTCGTTTATGAGTAGCCCGAAGGGAGACATCGCTATGAATCTTTCGGGTTTATGGGTAAGGCCTCCTGGAGGAGTGTTTTTCAGGAAGATGAGCTACACTTGGACCTGCAAGGTTGTGAAGACTTCAGTGAGAAGCAAACCACGCACATCTGTCTTCGAGGAGATGAGTACGGTCAGCGAACTGAAAACCTGGTGAATGTGAATGCGTTGAAGTCTAACAGTTGGGAGGGTTCTAGGATCAATCTGAGAGGGTGTTAAAAGAATACTCTGGTAGAAGTGTTCGTCTTCACGTGGATGCATTGCTGGGATGTGTCCTGCTCGGCGACGCGACTGATCCATTAAGTTTGTGTTCGAACGTCCATAGGTCTGAAGATCGGTCTCGAACTGGAGCTGAGTCGGAAATTGGAATGAAACCTAATTAACAACTCTGAAGTTGAATCAATTACTTCTGAGAGAAACTGCTAAAAAGGTAGGAGTTTACATGTGAAGCCAAGTCAATTTAAAAGTCTTAATAAAATGATTTAGACATAAAGAACATAAAATAATTTCTGTTGATATGCGGTTAACATTTGAAGAAAGTGGTCCCAAACATTTATTTCAATGATAATAAATTTCATCTGAAGTTATAAAATGGATATTCAGTAATTTTAAGCTTGTTTTCTTAGAAATATGGAATATCTTGTCAAGTGTTATATCGATTTGTGTAATAATCACAGTGTAAGATTGTAAGAATAGCGGATTTTTCATATTACTCTTGGTCGATTGTTTTGCGACCTGAGAATCACATCACAATTACTTCATCTTACACCTTAGCACATAGCTGACTGTTTAAAATTTATTAGTGTTCCCTTCATTAATGAAACCTTTATTGAGTAATTGCCTTGCTTGCATGCAAGTAAATCAGTTAGCAGTTCGAATTTTGATATTCATTCAGATGACCCATGAATAGTCACCACTCAATCACACTGAGTCAGCTGCATTGTCATACGTTAAAAATTCAGTTCAAATTAGTGTAGTATTAACTAGGAACAATTTTGCCATAATAAATTAATGCAAACAGAAGTCAAAATCACAATGAAAGTCTAAAAAAAAACGCCGTTTAATAGTGTAACACAAAAGGTAAGCTAAAAATACCAGAATTACCTCCCAACTAGCGATGAAATTATTTTGTTTACCGGAATGTAGATTATGAACTTCACCAGTGTTTCCTGAACCACTTTCAATTTTAGTTTTTAGTTGAAGAAGTTCTTGTTGTGCATTTAACAGCTCAGCTGCAAGTGCATCACGTCTAGATAGATTAAAAAGTATGAAAATAAATTGAGTAAGGCAGATTTAATCAGAGTAAAACATGTATAACATGAAGATAATGCTTTTGTGTCTGTAATACTTTGAAGTTAAATCAAAATTAGAAGGGAATTACTATCACTTAAATGGCTTATCTATGGCAGTGATTTCAGATTTTCTACACATAAAAAACAGGATACAACTAAAGTAAACTATTTTAGGCTAATTCTGTCTGGAGATTTGAAGAGATTTATTGATTAATTTTAAGGTTGGAATTCATCATGAACTGAAATCAGTTAGAGGAACATTGGAAATCTGGGAGTACTGGACAGCTATTTCGTTCTAGTATGGGACTCTTCAGCAGTGCACACTCATGACCCCGCTCACCAGGGATCGAACCCAGGAACTTCAGGTCCCATGTTCAACACGTTACCATTGAGCCACAGCGTTGGAATCCAATGGTCCATATTTCCTACTTCTGTCAATTCACGATACAGCGTGACCTACATTTAATGCTGTCTTTGAGTAACTGTCCTCATGTTCGACTTGGTTGACTTCATTGGTCATGACTTCTCATTGGAACTTCAGGAATCACCTCTCGAAGCTAGTCACTAGTGAGCGCTAAATTAGTTGTTTAAGGGGATTGATTTTTATTTATTTTTCGATAACGCTATTAGAAGACAAAGATTATCCTAGAAATGTGATGTATTTGCGCAATACATTTCGAATAATCTGATCACACATTTACTTGTCAAGTCAATTGATATATGACAATGAAAGGAAAAGGTTTAACAGTCAAATATAATGAAAATGAAAAGGTTGTGACACTAGTCTTGGTAATATATAATCGGATAAAGATTACCAAGGTAAATTAAGTGAAACAACAAAAATCGGACAAAAGCTGTAGAAACTCATGTTCGATGAAACATAAGAGATGCTTAGTAAGATGCCTATTCAATAGAATCTAACGTATTTGTACATCTCATACAATGGATGATGAGAAGAAATTTCTAACAGAGACTGTAATGGAAAACGGATATCCATTACAGTTTGTTAACCGTTTTAGGAAACAGCTGACCTCAAAGCCTATAGTTTCCTCAGTCCCGAAGAAAGACATATTTCTTAAATTACCATACAGAGGAGAAACGAGTAGTGTAAGATTAAAATCTATTATCAGTAAAACATACTATGCAGCTCAGCTTATCATTGTTGAGACAACAAAACACTTGCTTCGTCACAAACCTCAACTTCAAATAAATGATTATGTCACATACATAAGGAGGAGTAATCGTATAGTGCAGACTAGGGGGGGTGAACACATATCTAAATAGCTTGAAAAGTAATTTAACACACAAACATTGATAAGTGCAGGTGACAGATATCCATCGTCAACTATAACAAAACATATCATTGAAATGAATCACAAGGTTAGTAGGAAAACAGCCTCCAAGATATTATACTTGAATAGTCAGGAGCGTATACTGAAGTTTGGCGAAGCGTTAGCCATTCGTAAAATTGAGCCCCCACTGTGCATACAAAAACAATTTGTTGTTTCATTTAATTTACCTTGGTAATCTTTATCCGATTATATATTACCAAGACTAGTGTCACAACCTTTTCATTTTCATTATATTTGACTGTTAAACCTTTTCTTTTCATTGTCATATATCAATTGACTTGACAAGTAAATGTGTGATCAGATTATTCGAAATGTATTGCGCAAATACATCACATTTCTAGGATAATCTTTGTCTTCTAATAGCGTTATCAAAATTTATTAAAGCGCATCCTGGATTCCACTGCTAGCCACTGCCCATCATTACTAAACATAGTTAAAAGACAGGCAATATCGAGGCATCCGCATAGGAGCCCATATGCCAACAAAGACTGATCAATTCGGTCCAATCAACGACGGTGTAATACAAGCAATAACACTAAAAGGGACTAATTGTTTCAAATTGTATTCATTTATTTATTTAGGTTATTTATTTTAAGTTAATTAATAGGCGAACGTTTATCTGGTTTTTGATCTAAATAATTAATAAAACGCTTTTAGTGTCCATTATTAGTAAGCTCTGACTACTGAATAATGCATGTGACATTTATATTCTGGTCCTGAGTAAATGTTTCGATAATTATTCAACTGATATCATATACTCTGACTTACTCTGAACGGACAATTTGACATTCCATTTCATAATTAGCAAGTGGATGATCCTGTTCATTCAGTGGGCTTGATGATAAGTTAGGCTGGAAAAAATAGATACAACTAATGTAACTAACAATGTTAAATATGACGTAACTGGTCAAATCATATTATGAAAATTATACAATTTTTGTGATTATATATTCCAAGTAGAATAAAAGACTTTTGCAACAAAGATCAATTATATAGTTCAAGATTTATAGGAATTTCTATTCTTAAGGTTGTATACACCACGGATGGACATCAATGGGAGAACCATTGAAAACCTAGGAGCACTAGATAGTTGTTTCGTCCCAGTATGGGAATCCTCAGCAGCATGAGCCTACAACCCCGGCTACGGGTGGAACTTAGGGATTTTAGGTTTCCTGGCGAACGCGTTAAGCATTCAATCACTGGATTGGAGTTCAATGGTCCACAGTTTCCTACTTCTGTCACTTCGCGGTATAGCACGATTATCCATCACGGTCTTCAGTTGGCATCCATCCCACTTCAGACAAGTTGACCCCACTGGTCACGGCTTCTAATTAGAGTTTCTCAAAGCATTTCACTAATGAGCGCTATTCAGTAATATAGTTTGAGGTTTATGGGGCATTGACAGAAGTAGGAAACTATAAAACAATGAACTCCGACGCACTGACCGTGAAACCTGAAGGCTTTAAGTCCAACTCCTGGCGGGATTGTGGTTGTGTACGGCTGAACAGTCACATACTAAAATGAAACAGCTGTTTAGAGCTCCAAGGTTTTTAATCGTTCCTCACCTGATATCTATCTGCGATGAATACAACCCTGAAGCATTCAAAATTCTCATTACAATTCAAAGGCCATTTGAATGGACAAAGAATACTTTTTTCGATAACTTCTTCAGGTCCCAGTTAGGTGTATATATTGAGGAATTAAGCAGAAAACTGCTATACATTCGGGTAAAGTTTAGAGGTGAGGTGCTCAGCGAGATACTAATTAAAGAACTACACAAACCAACTTCGAGAACTTTCAGTGCTGATAAATTATAAATTTCATTTTCCACACGCTAAATGGTGACACCGAAACTGAAAGATGGATTACTAAAACTAACTACTTTCTACTGTGTTTACCGATTCGACTGCTCCTGAGGAGCTCCTATGTTGGTTGCTGGCTCTAGGAATTTAATTTTCTGTGCTCATGAACACCTTCCAGCATGGTTAAGTAAAGGTGTAGTAAAAACCATTACTAGTTCCATATTAGCATAATTGGTTGCAACAAACCATAAAATGAGTATGAATAAGTCATTTTTCAATCAGTCCTGCGGTCCCAACAACCTTAAAGGTCAGTTAGTCAGTCTAAAAAAATTCTAGCTCACGAAACAAAGGTGGAGTTCTGAAAAAGCTTATTCCTAACAGTTGCTCCAAAATCACTCAATCATATGATTATGAGCAGTAATTTACGCTCAAAACGTCATCCAGTAAATAATAGAGTTTTGGTAAACATTTATGGCTGAATTCTTTTAAGACATTTCCTTGAAGGGAATTATGCAGACCTCTCTTACTATGTGTCTTAGCTTCATTGAGCTTCAGTATTTCTACTTGTCTACACAATGATCTCATACAACCCTTGTTTTAAATTACCGCAATATTGATGTTGTAGTAAAAATTCATTAAAGTTTGTTATTCTACGACAATATTTTTGTATCAGCGGAAAATAGAATAAGATAACATGAACACAAACAACCAAAATCATTTTGTGGACAGGTTTTGCACAGTCTCAGTTCGAAATGAAAATTTAGACTGTAGCCGGATTCGAACCAGTGACCACTGGGTTTCTGGCTTGATGCCCTACCAACCGAGCTACGAGGTCCACTGAGGTCCGAGATCCGCGGACCTAGCAGCCACTGGTTCGAATCCGGCCACGGTCTAAGTTTTCATTTTATCTTCGATCATCATGCAATATAACTACTAGTCTGTCAAACCACGACTATCTCAGACAGTCAAAATGATAATTAGTTTTCCATAAATGAAGATATTAAGATGGAAATAATTACTTTCTTTGATGGATACTATATGATATTTTTTATTAAGGATATTAAAAATAAATAAAACGAATGAAAAAGTACCAAATTTAACAAGTGCAGAGATTTTAATTGAATTTATGCTCAAACTAAAATTGCTCACTTCCATTATATTTTCATTGCTGATTACTTCCTTCTCTTCTTGGGAAAGACATGATGATACTGGTTGTTCTGGAATTTCAATCTTTAAGTCTTTCAATAGTCCACGTAAGTCAGTCAATACAGAACGTAGTGACCCTAGACGAAAATCCATTTCAACCATAGCCAATTCATCGGGTGTATGTGTACCGACTTGACTGCATGCTTCCTGGTTTGCTCCAGCAAGTGCGTATAATTCAACACACATTTGGTTCATCTGTTGATAAATCTGTAATTGTTTCGAACAAATGCAAATAATAAAAACTTCATATAAGTACCTCTTGTGAATCGCTTTAGCTTGACAAAATTTTTAAGAAAAAGGCCTTTAAAATAAGGACGATCTAATAGGTCAAAATGTAATGATTTGAATAGGGCATAATTTAAAATAAAAACCTCGGGTTTAAGGGGATACAAATTTCGTTTGTTGCATCTCACAACCATCGAACAGTAACTTAAGCAGCGTTTTAAGAAAAGTCAAGCAACAGTATAAGGGTTTTTATATGATATCGTCGTTGATTGGACCGAATTGATCGGTCTCTATTAACATATGGGCTCCTGTGCGGATGCCTCGATATTGTCAGCAATCTAATCATGTTAATGACGGTATCATATAAAAACCCTTATACTAAAAACTATACCCGTCACACAAGAAGTGGCTATCGTGGCTCGGTGGTGTAGTGGATAACGCCCTGGCGTTTGAAGCGATCGCTCCCGAGTCCGATTCCCGGTGGGAACAACATCACTCATTGGGAAGCAAGTACATTCAGCTGACGAGTCCCAAATAGGACGAAATGCGCATCTTGCATTCCACTGCTAGCCACGATCCATCATTAAAGTCAAGCAATATTATTTTAATCTCTTGTTATGAAATGCCCAATCAAATGGACAAATTGAATGTACATGTATGGTAGCGAGAGTCACTATCTTCAGTAAAACTCGTACTCTGTTCCTAGAGACGGTATCAACCACTACAGTCAAGTTCCGAATCCGAAACTAGGATGAAACAGCCGTCCAGTGCTTCTAGATTTTCAATAGTTCACTGGCTACTGATCCGTAATTGAAACCCCTTTGAGATTATTCAATTCACTAGGAACTGCCAAACTCAATAATTGTAATTTAGTGAATTTACTAAAATAAATAACTCTCACTATGAAAGTTACTGAATGTATTTGCCAGATTATTTATGAAAGCTTTCTGCAAAATGTTTACTGATTCTCCTGCTGTTATAAATATACTTTATTGGGAATTTCACTATCAAATTTGATATACGCTTTTGTGTGATGCTTCATACAGTATTTTAAAACTAACTTTTCACTAAAAAGCTTTTCAAAGTATTTTTGTATTAAAATTTCTCGGATACATTTCAGTAATGTGCTGTTTCTCCTCAACTTTCTTTGTTTCATGTTTAGTTTTTACAAAACGTCATTCTAAATTCATTACATATTACATATGATGAACTTATTATAGTCTTGCTGACAGCAGTTGTCTTAATGACCTAAAAAAAAAACTAAGTAACTAGAGTATGGAGCGGTGGATCATTGGTTTAGGGAGATGGACTCTCCACTGATGAGTCACAGGTTTGAACCGTACTGCACCTACTGAGGTTTTAGCACCTAATTATATTGGACTTAAGTACAGTGGTTTAATCCCACCCTATTGTGTGGCTGAGTGTTAATGCATGGATTGCAATAGCCGAGTGTTTTTCTAGATTATTGATCTTATTTGAATCTGTCATTTTATATTTAACTAAATTCCTATGTTCCACTATTTTAACTGACTTCAACCGGCTAGTTTGACCTATGTAGTTGGGGTCACAGTCATTAAATGGAATTAGGTAGATTAGATTAATTTGCTGAATTGGTTCTGTGAAATGCTTAAGCCGGAAAAGTTTATCTCTGAGTGAATTTATAGGTTGTAAATCCCACCCTAAGTCCAGCCTTGTTGAGAATCCTATGTAAAGTTTCTGATGTTCCCCCCCCCCCTTATAAAGTGACACAACATAGGCTTCGAACTCCTCTATAATTATGTTGTTACTATTATTCGTATTTGTTTGAAACGAAATGACAACAGTACTATACGGAGTAATAGGTGGAGAGATATAGAGATTGACTACTGAGTCTTCATTCATCGGATCCACACCCAAAACATGTGATACGAATGACACAACACCTACACCGGAGATGTGAATGATTTTACTATCAATAAAAAAACAAAGAATATGAGGTGACAGGACCATAAAAATCAGATGTCGAAAGTTGTGTTGTTACGTTGATTGGACTATGAGCCATAATTTATGCACAGAACGTCATCAAGTAAATAAAACTGTATCAGTGTGTGCTAGATCGGATAAGCACATCTAATATGAAGTTATATCTTATCACAGTGCCTTAGTTTATATTTATATAAATAGAGTAGAAAACATTATCTGAAAGTGAATTGTGACATTGAACCTTACTAATGAAGTATTCAACAATTTGAATGACAAATGAATATGGAATACGGCAAAGAAGAGCGTCTGTTTAAACTATCATGCTTCATAGAAGGATGCAAAGAGGAGGTAACAAAAAGAATGACCTAGAAGTAAATATAAGGATACGAAAGGACGCGGAATAAGTAAATATATGAAATATGCGCAAACGGGACTCACTTCTGTCACTTCTGATCGTAATTCGTTTATAAACGTTTCCTTTGTATTCATATCAGATTTTTTGGAATGATATTTGAATTAGATGGCAATGAACTGTCTGAAATATTATCCTGATCAAAACATGACAAATAGGCCAGAAATGCATTATCATCCATTTCAAACTCAACATCATCGTCATCTTCCAGTGCAGAAGGTAAACAGCCGAAATTCTAAGCAAACAATAAAGGATAAACTCATTTTTGTGAAGCAGTAATTGATGTATTGTACATAAAATTTGATGAAGAAACTTTTTCAGTAATCTTAAAATAAATTTATATGTGTTACTAACATTGGGAAAATTTGTAAGGATAGGGCGCTTACAATTATGTTGTATCTCATACCTGACAATTATTCTTCATCAAGTTTAACGTAAAATGACAGAAGAGGATTAGGAGCTAATTTCACCAGCTGACTGATCGAAACATTGAACAATCATGTACAATAGTTTTTTTTCCTTTCCAGATGACATACGTTTTAACGATTAGTTCGAGTAAAACCAAAAATAAGCAGTAAAAACACAATGCGCAACCGTAATAAAAAACACACTCAATTTATCAGTAATATTAAGAGTGTTTACATCAACAATAAGATTTGTATTTTTGAGATGAATGGGGATTTTTAATTTGGAAGTAGTATTCATCATGGACTAACATCAGTTGGGGAACCATTGAAAATCTGGGAGCACTCGACAGCTATCCCATCCTCGTATGGGACTCCTCAACAGTACGCACCCATGACCCCTCCACAGATCGAAATCAGGACCTTCCGGTTTCACGGCGAACGTGTTAACCATTCAGCCACTGGGTCGGTTTCCAGTGGTTCATAATTTCCAACTTCTGTCAATTCACGACGTAGCGCGACTGTCATCCAAGGTCTTCAGTTAGCATTCACTTCACTTCAGACTAGTTGACCCCACAGGTCATGGCTTCTCATAATAGCTTCCCGATATCCATCTGGAAGCAAGTCACTAATGAGCACTATACAACTCTAATGAGAAGCCGTGACCTGTGGGGTCAATTAGTCGTAGGTGAAGCGGATGATAACTGAAGACCTTGGGTGATAGTCGCGTTATATCATGAGTTGACAAAAGTTGGAAATTGTGAACCACTGGAAACCGATCCAGTGGCTGAATGATTAATACGTTCGCCGTGAAACCGGAAGGTCCTGATTTCGATCTGTGGCGGGGTCGTGAGTGCGTACTGTTGAGGACTCCCTTAATAGGACGAAACAGCTCTCCAGTGCTCCCAGATTTTCAGTGGTTCCCCAACTGATGTCAGTCCATGATGAATAATACTTCTAAAATAAGATTTGTGTTGAGTCGCTGGATGTAATATCGCTATACTTTTTTTTTCGAACCGAATCGCCGGCTACTAAGTTCATATCCTGAAAGATAAATCAGACCAATGAAAAGTAAATTCATGCCGTGACCTGGAGTGCTGTTTAAACCCGTAAGCCACAGGTCGAAAGCCAATTGCATAAACCAGTAAGTCACCGCATCACGCTAAGGTAGTTTAGTAAGTGAGAAACTTGCCTAGGTGGATCTTCTGGTCCTTTAACACAAACTGCATAGTTACAGAGAAGTTGTTTGATACTCGCCAAAGCGAACAACTTAAACAGATGTTTGCATTATTATAAAGGAGCAATTTCATGACACAAAACTGCCATGCTTTCTAGTATGACAGTTAGTAATCTTGCTAATAACTCAACTTTTGATCATCGAGTCCCCAGTTCATAATCCGTTCCCCTTACTTCAATTAGGGCAACCAGGCAGTGCCATAAGCTGTCAAATAATAAGTATAACTGATAGCCTAGTAAACAAACCTATGTACCGGGTTGAGATGTATTAATTAGTGCACTTAATACATATTATTATACTATTCACACCACTTAAAAATAGTAATGATTATACAGACGATTATTCGTGTTTAATGAAACTTTTCATTCTCATTCGACTATCTGAGATAGCCGTGGTTCGGCAGACTAGTATTTATACTAGGTGATGATTGAAGGTGAAATGAAAATTTGGACCGCGGCCGGTAAAAAAACTAGTGTGTCAAACTACGGCTATCTCAGATGGTTAAATGATAAGCAATATGATGCTCCCCCTCTCTAATTTAGTCAGATTTCAATTGAGATAAGAAGTTCTGACAAGGCAGCCAGTGTGATTACTATTAAGCGGTGGTAACGCGTCACAAATTCACATGGTAGTCAGGTGAAACCCTTGGTGATTGAAGTGAAGTAAAAATCTGGTCAGCAGTCGGATCTCGTAGCTCAATTGGTGGAACATCAAGCCAGGAACCCAGGTGGTCGCTGGTTCGAATCCGGCCGCGGTCCAAATTTTCATTTCACCTTCGATTATCACCCAGTATAAATTTTCATTATGCCTATAAGATGTTTCATGTTCATACTAATTTATTACTGCAATTAATGATTAGTTCTGAGTTTCTTATCTTTGTTTACAAAAAGATAACAACAAAACCATTTTACTTTGAGATGTAGCCTCATTTTTGAGTTTGTAACTTATCTAATCAAAAAACCCTGTAAAAACAAACAAAGAACTAGATGTTTTACTTTAACTAGAATGTTGATTTTCTCTAACCGCTTGTTAGAAATCACTACATGAACGCGTATATGAATCAATAATTTCCAAGTATCGATTCATAAGTTTTGTGAAATAGCTAAATAAGCACTACAAAAGTGAAACAAATAAACAACTACATTCTTATTTCATGTGTCTATTTCTTTCGATTCAAAATGTGTGAGAATTTAGTGTGAGAAAAATTCGGCAATATTCAGACAGTACTGTTGTATACGGTTCATCAGATTGTTCGCAGTACAAACTTATGACACTTTCAAAAAGCTTGGTCATAACTCTTAGGCTTTACAGCTATCAGAATGACCATTTAGTTTCAAGATTACACTGTAATACTTTAGAGGAAAACATTCATCCAGTATATATGAAACGAACTTCAGTGAACATAGTGGGATAAACAAACAAAAAGAGGATCTTTTTTAGTTGTGTTTTACTAATATTTAGCAAGGATTTGTGGTAAGTTGAGATTATGCATCATCCTAGTAACGACTTATCAATTGAATGTAGCCGCACTCTGTTAGGCTTTCGCGCTATCACTAGGAAAAGTATCCAGTGTATATATTTTAAGAAGACGAAAGACTATCTACTGGGCTCTTGAGCTGTGTTACACAATAGAGGTCAGTAATACGACTTAAAATTGGTTTTGTTGATTTAGCGTGCCTCACTAACAGTCATCTGTTAGTGAGTACAATGTAACAATAACAATAGCTTTATTCTAAAAGATCTTTCGGGAACACTGTACAGAACTGTCATAATGTCATGCAGAATCAATTGGACGGAAACAGTGTATACGTATGCATAATAAAATGGAATAAGCAGAAATTACGTTTAAAAGTTAAGAATATCTATTCCATCTACAACTGTCTTGAAAATACAGAGTTAACTTAGGTAAACAGTCTCATTAGCAATTAGACTCATAATATTCAAATAACAGTAAGGTAGGTAACCTTTGGTTAGTTTACTTTCAAAACCAAAAGTTGATTAGTTAGTAGATTTCTAACACTTGTTTTCTCGTAAAAGAGACGAGTTAAATACAGTATTTGGGAATTTTTATATTGAATAGTACGTGCATAAAGTCTTATACACTTGGTGCTGGTCTTACCTGGTGACCGAAACGCACAGAGCTTTGAGTGAAGAGGATGCTGGTCATCTGATAAAATAACTCTTGTCAGATGTTTACATGAGTCAAGATGTTCGTCCACAGCAGTTTCAATTAGAAGGTTTAAAGATACACCACCAGTTCGATGGACAATCCTAAAAGTTCTACGCATTACAGCATAGTCTATCTTCAGAAACCCAGGAAAGAATAAAGGGAAACTAAAGAGGAGAACAGACAATACGCAGGAGTTTACAGAACACAAGGGAAGAGGCTGAGTTACATCAGATACTTTCAGCTTCTCAATATAGTAACTCAGGTGGAAGATTCTTTAGGAAATTATTAAGATATGGGGAAACCAGAGATGGTCCAAAGAAGAACACGCCGAGATAAATCACACGTTACATTCTCTAATACACAACAGCACAACACCATTCACAGAGGACCACTATCCAATGGTCAGTAGGAGATTGTTCACCTGGGAATAATCCGCTGAAGAGCAGACATGTATGAAAACTGTCAGGTTATCGGCATAGTTGATAAAACTAATACTAGCTGGAGATGATGTCATACAGAAAAAAGAGGAAAGACCGGGAGAAAGAACATCATTTTGGGGAACACCAGCCTCAGCAAGAAATGAGGTGAAGCGCTTTCCTCTGTGTATAGTACATTGTTTCCTTTCAGTGAAATAAGAATACAGCCAACTGATTGTCCAAGACTCAGCCTGTTTCCCGACTAGCTTGCCCAGCAAAAGAGGGGTCTTTGGACGGGATCAAATGCTGAAGTATGGTCAAAAAAACGCACACCTGATATAATTGCCATTTCTATATAGGATACATGGAATAGCACATTTTTCATTAAAGTAGGACTGGATTTTATTTAAACTTTACATAACTGGTTGTCTAATTTATCAAAAAAAACTCAAACTAGTAATAAAGTCTTTTTCTCCCAATAACTAACATCTTCGAAGACAATGATCATTGTATGAAGTGTACTTAACTTGTGTAATCCTGGTGTCGTATACTAGAATGAAATAAATCGATGAATATTTTGTTCTACCTTTGAACAAATTGTATCAACATGTGGTCTGGCATTACTGTGCGATGGTTCAAGTTGCCCAACCTCATATCAGAACATTAAGCAACAATGCTTCAAGATAAAAGATAGAGAAACAAGGAAAAAAAGCAGTCAAAAGTGGTAAAAAGTAGTGAAAAGAAACGTCGAAATGAACTCAGTAGCCACATTCAAGCTCGTACAACAGGCAAAAATACTTAAGTTCAGCATGACAATTAAAATGATTATCATACCAAAGAAATCAATTTTGAGCTACACCACCTTGAGTTTCCAACCACCGATTTCTCTTGTCACACCGACCCCAACATTTTCTTATATAGCTCAGTTCAACAATCAAAAACTTCATGAACTGATGCTGTATTTTAGTCAGAATAGGAGAAAGGGAAACTGAACGATAATTTGAATGA